TTCTTTTTGTAAACCATGAAACTCTTTAGCTCTGCAATCATTATGCATGAGGACTTTTGGTATTCCAAAGATCTTACTGCAAGTTCATCTGCAATCAGAATTCCTTCATGAGGTGTTCCTGACGTTGACTAAGTCTACAGTGAGATTTAAGATGGGGGTGATGGTGTATGCTTTTGGGGGTGGGGGGCATTGTTTTGTTGGGGGGGTGTTTGTTTTTTGAAACAGAGTATGTTATGTATCAAAAATAACTTAGTGGGAGGGAAAAAAGAGGAGAAAGATAATGAAGATAAGGAAGCTTTTCTTGGTTACTCAACTTTATTTTAGGCTTGCATAGAATATTCTAAAAGTTACACAAGGTTAATTGAATACTTGACTTGGAACCCTAACAATGTTTTCATGAAAATATTTATCAAGGAGAGGGAATTTTAATATAGTCTAGGTAAAATTATATACAAAAAACTACATTAAGAAACATTAAGGTTGCAAGGTCAAGTACTCAGAATAGAAAATGCCAGACTTACCGTGGTCTGTGTAATCTTAATTCTTCCCTCTTGTGCATTCGTCCGTTCTGTGCACTGAATGAGGCAGGGATCCTATGGGAAAAAATGTGATCATGTGGGTAAAGGCTATCACAGTGCATTTGGACAAAGGGGTGCAACATGTGTTTGCACAGACAAGTAAATCTGCTATTTCCTAACTTTCAAATGCTACAACCTAAATAATGTTCTTTTAGGTCTTTTTTAAAAAAGAGAAAATAATGTAATTTTCTGAAGTGTTTTTTAAAGGAAAAAGATATAAACTAACTACATTTATGTACAACTGTAACAAACCTTATTCCAATCCCATGATATATTTATCAGCATTTGAACCCTGAAACATCAGCACTGAAGCACAGACTGCTGCCACTTGACCTATAGGACTAACTACACTAGTCGATAGAGAGAGAAGACTGTTATCCCAGAAGGAGGATGGCCCACTGGGTCTAGGTGCTGGGTCCAGGGATGGGAGAGCCAGTGCTCACTTTTTTCTCCTCCTTACCCCCACAAATTAGGGGAACTCCTGCTCCATGTGGTGCCCCCAAGGGGAAGGGGCCGTTGGGTCCAAGCTTGTGTTTGCAGGGCACCTGGCCATGTTCCTGTCCCATGTGGTCCTCCAGAAAATAGTGGGCAACCTAAATATTAGGGTTTGTTACCAGCTCCAGTATAACATTCATGTCTGTTATTCACCACATAAAGTTTAGATTGTGTAACTAGATTTTAGTGCTGGCTGAAGGTGTCTGCTAGAGAGCCCTTGAGACTGAGTTCTTCTCACCACAAGACAGGTACAGCACAGTTAGTGGCAATACAAGTTTATTTCATGTTGTCCTACTAATGTGCCACAAACTTGACCATGCAAGGGACCACTGTTAGGATGAAAGGGTTATTTAGTATTTGGTCCCTTTGCTGAGATGTCCAATGAGGTTTTTGATGGTGGAGATTGTGATGTGGAATTGTACTGAATTCAGCTAAGTTTTTGTTGCAGCATTGTCTACTACTAGCTTAAAAATTTTTCTTGTGATGTATTTTTAAAGAAAATGTAACTTTGTTTCCCATAGGACCTGCACCAGCAACCTATAAAGCTGATTAGAGTGAACATTTTCTCAGAAATAATATAGGGGACACTTTCCCAGCACTACACTTCAGATAGTGAATGCAGGCAATCTAGGAACTTTCAAACCCTTAAAATGAATTGAGTCATGTGGAGCAGGTCACCTATAAAAAGAAAAAGGAAGATAAAAGCCAAACCCTTACAGCAGTCTTATTCATCATGCTTTACAGACATGGGTGAATAATGAATTATGGGTCACAGACCCAAAGCAGCATAAGGAGGAGACTTTGGTCGAGAAACGTTGTACAATGAAATATGTCCTAAATAGTCACCCAAGTGACCAGTAAAAATCAGTCAGCCTAATAGAGATGGTTTCTAAACCAGAGGTTGAACAAAATCGTAGTGGAAACCTCATGGGGATATTTTAAATTGGTGGTGTAAAACCGGGTATTCTACAGGAGGTATTTGTTAGTGCAAGATTCATTGTGTTTCTAAAAGAGCAGTATGCTTTAGCAGAAGCTACTGCAGTAAAATGCCACAGTGCTGTTGTGCAGAACCACTCTTTCCACATAGATTTTTACAATGTGCTCTTCTCAGTAGTATCCAAGTCCTTCCAGATAGAAATACAGAGCAGGCTGTTTGGTGGAAGGGGTCATTATGCTTAATGGCAAACAATTGAGCAGTATGACACAGCGCACATATGGGCTGAGTTTATCTTCTCCTTTAGCAGGTCAGATACTCACTTGAAATAGCTTCACAGCTGACAGCAGTGTAACATTTTATGAGATTCCTTGCCCAATAAATGCAGGCAGATGTCGTAGGATTTAGAATCTTACAAGGCACTGGAGTATTGTTGGTGGGAGGTAATTCTGACGGGTGCTTAACCTCTATCTAAAAAAGTATCAGCTTGGAAAAGGCAATATTTACTGCAGGAAACATTAGCTTGTCAGAGAGGTAAAATGCTGCAAAAAACCTTCTGAATGACCACCGAAGTCACCAGCCAGATGTTGGCCATAGAATGGAGTAATGCAAACACTATTGGGAGTTATACTGGTACTTTTCCTTGCATCACTGACTGCCAGCACTGTTCCCTGTAGGAGCATTAGTTTTTTAATATAAGTCTGAACAACATGTTGTGTATAAAACAGCACATGCCATGTTGTACAGGGTTATAAAACCCAGTGTGTCACTATTGCATGGGACATTTAATTTATTAGTATTAGGAGATTATAAAAAAAAATCCTTTCAGAGGTCTTTCATTGGAACTAATTGTGAACTGGAAGAATCAGTGGATCATCATTTTGTTGTATCTTTTCAACCACTTCTGCAAGTTGTCACCATCATAACATCAGCCACCACTCAAGGTGGCCACAGATAGTCTAGATATTGTGCACCCTTTGTATGTTCCTGGACTCCTCACTGCTACTGTATACCAAAATAGTTAAGTCTGTGAAAAATGCCCTGTTCCACACTTCCATCTCTTCAGACCCTTGGCCATCTACATTTTTGTGACGCTTGATTGTTTCAGTGCCTTCAGTTCTGGAATGAAAAGATGACCTAGAAAAAGCTCCTGTTAGTTCCGAGTGTAGCAGCTCACGTATTCACCAACAGAGCCCACTGAGAGAACATCTCTGTGGTGCTCTCCTCCCTATGCTGGTCCCCACGGACTGTCAAGTTCAAGGGTATAGCCCTAATCCTCAGAACCCTCTGTGGGACTGCTCCACATTACCCAACAGGTCACCTCATTTGCCACAACCGCAGCATCCCATGACAGCTACATTCCTCTGAAACAATGGAACTCTCAGCAGCATGAGCAAGCCTTGTAAGTGCAGAAACAGTTTTCTTGATAGTGCCTGTGTGGAACTTACTCCTGAAAACATTGAGAACAGCTGTCAATCTTATTGCCAAACTTGCTTCATCATCCTAACTTTCCTGAGTGGAAAAGGGATGGAAAAAAACTACCATTAAGGAGATGGGATGGGGAGAGAAACTGAGAACTTTGTAACATCTAACACGTAGAATTTGCTAGGCATTCCAACACTACCATGAGTGCAGTATAGAGAGATTGCATAAAAGATTGGGCAGTTTACTGTGGTCTTTGGATTTCGAGAAGCTATTGGAGGTAAGGAGGTGAGGAGTTAGGTACAGGAGAGAAGAATGGAGACATTTTATAAGTGGAGAAATCATAGGAAAATGAACAGTATTGCTGGTGGTTTTATTGAAATAGAAATTAGAGTAATATAGTGGTAAATCAGGTCCAAGGACTGCATTTCTCTCCACAGGGATGCAGTGCAGGGCAGCTGGTTACTGGCAGACTTTCCAAAGAGGACCAAAGCAGCAGAAGAGGTGTATAGGCAGGACCCACTGGTAGCCTATCTGAAACCTTGATGGCGCTCTCTTGAGGGGCAAAGGCCACAATTAACTTCTCAAAGCCTGTGGCTGAATCCATTAATGGCTGAAAGGGAGAGCTAAAGGACTACTATTGGAGGGCCTTTACCTTTTTTTTTTTTTTTTGCAAGTTCACGGCTGCCAAGTTTTGTGCAGATTCATATGGGACATTTTGTGCCTATTTATTTGCAAGCATTACAAATTACTCATTAAAATTTACATGTTTGTAAATGACCATAAACTTCAGCTTATGGTCATTGTGCTGTGCCCCAGATGATGGTGGGGGAAGGACAAAACCTGGCAGCTGTGGCAGGTGCTGAAGGATGTCTGGGGAATAGGTGGGCATTGGTGAGAGCTTTCAGAGGACAGGGGAGTACCAGAGCAGCTGGGCTTGTGGTAATGTCCATGAGGGCAGGGGGATAGCTCTAGGGTAGTTAGGTTTGCGGGGTAACTGGAGGGGGAAACCCAATTTGTGAGTGTCGGCAGGGCAGAGGGAGAAGAGACAAGCTCAGTGGCTGGGAGTAGAGATTGTGGGAGGGAGAAGCTGTGTATAGCTAAGTTTGGGGGTTGGTCAGGGTATCAGGGGAAGCTGGGAAGAGGTAGGTGGGGTTTGTGGGGCTGTTTAGGGAGGCAGCTGGATGGCTGGGTGAGAATCTGGGGACAGCTGGGACTGTGGGAGTGCCTGGGAAGATGGGGATAGCTGGGTGGGGTGGCTATGGGCTGGGTGGAATCTGGGACCTGCTGAAGGGGTCAAATTGGTGGCTGTGAGAGGGAGCCTGGGGCCAGTACTGGGTCCCCCTCGCCACCTGTCCCTGCCTCCACTTGCTCTTGCTGCCACTTGGCTGCCCTCCCAGCTGTTTTTTCCCCACTTATTTCTTATAAGGGGCACAGCAAGACAGAAGCTACTTGTGTGCCTGCTCAGCAGGTGCCACAGCAGCCCCAACCGTAGACCATTTCTGCAGTCCAGCTGCATGCTGTCTGCATTCAGTCTGTGGGAATGCGTGGGGAGTTCTGCATGCGTGAGTGCCGCAGGAGGTGCGGGACACCTGGCAGGCCTGCAAGTTGCCCTGTTAGCTTGGGGCTTGAATGCTCAGCATGACAACTTTTTCCCAGCAGTTACTTGCAGCCTCGATCCGGCTCAGGCACAAATGAAATTGTATCTGAACATGGCACACATTTTAAAAATCTGTTTTAATTTAAAAAAAAAAAAGCGTAGAGGAATAGCAAAGGGAATCCATTTACCCTGAGGGACAGGCTATAACATTAATAAACTTACTAAACTTTCACTTTGAGTGTTGTCCTTGTGCACTCCAATGTATCCCTCTTCTCCCCATCACAAGAAAGTCCATGGCACTGGATCTACAGAGAGGTTTTTTTTACAGAGCATGCACAGCTGTTGTATGGTGTCTGCATTTGTGTTTGCTTGTGGTAGATGTACTCTGTGGGAACATTTACTGTACAGTATGTCTGAAGAACTGTTCTCTTCTAGAATCCAGATTGTTTTATTACCAGCTAAATGTTCTTTAAGCAACCTGTGAATGAGGGCATTGTGACATTTAGCAACTGATTTGATTGAACACAGATGTGAACTACACTCCATATGGAGAAGATGCCAAGG